TTATTTTTGTGTGCGTGTACCGTCAAATCAGATCTGACTGGTACAGGAGGAGATTGTCCCTCCTTCCCCGGCAGAGCATCTGGTGGAGTCGAACCGTGTACCTCTGGGATTGTAGTTGCAGCTTCTTGCCACCAGATATTCTTTATTCATTGCCCAATTTTTTTGTCCCCATTCGTTCATTGTTGCACTTTTCTCCCTTTCCTCCTCTGCCCTCAGATTGAAACACTCTTGTTTTAGTCTAAATGAGAACATTGATGCTATTACCGTAACATCTCTCTCCACTGATATGTGATAGTATTTTTTTAATAGATCTAGAAACATAGTACTTGTCAGTTTTTGTTTAGGTTTTAGTAGATTTATTTTTTGCATGGCTTTTCACAAGAGAAATCCAATGTATCATGTTAATTCATTGCTTATATAATGAGGTTGCTGAAGTGAATTTTTGTTTTGTTTTTGTTTCTCTAAGTTAGTATACTCTGAAATGGTTACGAAATCTTTGAAACGTGCTTTCCATTCTACATATTATTTTTCTAAATTTGTTTCTTGCTATTATTTTTTTCTATTTCATCATAATTTTCACATTGTCCCTTTTGGTTTTTGTTGTTGGGCATAGTAATGAATCCAGACCTTTTTTAAATTTTCACCTACTTTTATGTATACGTGCAACACCATTATTTCCAGTTGTCAAACCTCCTGTGTGAAACCATTAGATTCTGGATGATAGTTTGCTTTGGTTTAATAAAAAGTTGGGTGTGAACGAATTGGGCTTTTTATGGGGTTTTTTTTGATTCATAATCATAAGTAAACTGATAGATTTGCTGAATTGAGCTACAAATGAGCTGGAAACCCCTTGTGTAGAATGATTCAGGACCTCCTGGTGTATTTAAAAGGCTTTTGTATTTAACAGTCCATTGTGGCCTGACTAAATGTCTAGGTTTTAGCCTCATGTATGAAGTGGTTGGATTCTGGAAAGTGGCTGCATTCTGGAAAATGATTCCATTGTTTTGAGTCACAGTCTGGTGTGCATAACTGGGTGTTTTTAAAATAATTTTGTTTATAATTTTGTGTGTGAACATATTTGATTTACTGGATTTTAAAGGTCTCTGTATTAAAAAGTCCATTAGGGCCTTACTTTGGAGGCTCATGTAAAGAGGTTGGATTTTTCTCTCACTTTGAGTTCAGGTTTGGGTGTAAACTGTTTGGTGTGTTGTTTTTTTTTTTTAATTCATCCACAATCATAGGTGACTTGAAATCTGGTTTCTTTTGTTTCCCATGTGTTAACAGGCTTTCTGTTCAAGGTTTTCTGTTCCCTAAATAAGCTTGAATTTTTAAAAAAAATCTGTGTGGCTGTTTGTGGACATACTGGGGTGGGGGGAGAGGA